ATAAAGCACTGAATTTATATTTTTTGCATTGCTACAGGCAATTCGTGACATGGATTACATTGTACAGGATAAACTATTATTGGAACAATTAATTGGAATGGAGTTACATGAGCCTATAGACAAAACCATTTTCTACAATGGTATAACTTCCATTTATAAACTCTGAGTCTCCTTTCTATAATTACTCATTTCCATAAATCTAATAATAAGTTGTAACGTCTTAAAAGAATTGATTAAGTCAATTCATATTTCACCACAGAAAAAAGATAATTTGAGAACTACTAGTACAAGAAAAAAACTTTGAAACAAATACTTCATTTCATTTGATTAAATATGTTTTTAAATAATATTAGTGAATGTTTCGGTTGTAATAAGACAAACTAGTGATGGAAATGGTTTCATTTTTAAATATGTTGTCATGTAACAACCTTATTTATATCACAAATGGACAAACAGAATTTGATGAAATAACAAAATAATTATTTTTCAGTGATAAGAACACAGCTAGTCTTGGGAATCTATCGCCATTTTGATTAATTTAACTATTTTATTTTAACTGATATTTTATCAGTTACTTTTAATTCTAGTTTTGTCTTGGACATTAAGATCTGACCATTCTGAAATAAGTAGTTTTCTTATGTGATATTGATTGCAATGGAGCAGGCTAGTTTTTATAAAAGTGTTGTACAATTTGAAATTAGCATCCCCAGGTTCACCCTGCATTTTCTTGTAGCCAGATAGTCAATATACAAGTTTCTACTGAATAAATAGGTTTAGCAATGAACATGCTTTAAACAGTCCACCAGGTCAGAAATGACTCATCAATCACTTTAAAGTGAGATAAATTGTGTATGTTATTTTGTTTCCAGTAATCAGTAATCATTGGTCTAAATTGCATTACAATATATCAAAAACAGAACATTTATAATTTGAAACAAGTCAGATCTTCAAATTGTCAAAGAGTTGTAAAGATATTTTCTTACTTTGGGTCAATACTAAAAATTTTCTTTCTGCTTTGTCTTAGATGAAAAGCTTTCATTCACTGAAGTTCTGTACTATGGCAATGAAAGCACACTTCTTACTTTCGATACTCTGTTTTTCTGTATTGTGGACCTTGCTACTCAAAGTTTCATTTTTGCTGCATTTCTAACTTATATACAACAAAAGGTATGTCTAACTTCAAATCTGTGGTCACATGTATATTTAAGTAATGTGAACAGGAAAATAAAAGACTGCCAATTCCCTTTAGAACTTGTAGCTTGCATCCAGTTATCCTCCAGTGTTATATGGAATCAGTTGTGGCTCACTTGATACCACACTCACCCCTGAATTCAAAGTTTGTTGCTTTAAAGTCTCACTCCAGCATCTTGAGTGCAAAAATCTAGCCCAAGACTTTGGGGATGTTAGAGGTGTGGCCGTTTGGTAGCGATTTTAAATCAAGGACTCATTTCTCTCTCAGAAGTCCATTACTTCATCAAAGAATCAAGTTGATCAAATATAATTTGCCTTTTTCAAATCTGTGCTAACTTTTATTTATCAACCCACAATTTTCTAAAGGCCAATTAATTTTGTCTTGTTGCTGGGTATACACCTCTTTTGATGAACTAAAAGTTGAATTCCACAGGTATTTTGCATTGGTCTTCAATGTAGAGGATGCAAGTGACATCTCAGAAACATCTACAAATGAGGAAATGGAAAAGAAGGAAGGTATTACTATCACCAAGAAAGTGGTACCGAGCAAATCATCGGAGCTGTGCATGGATAAGTCCTTGAGTCCTGATCGACTTCATCTCGGGATTAAAAAAATTGTGACTAGTGAGAAAATAGTGAATATAATTCCATTATCCAAAAAGAAATGGAGACAGAAAGCAGGAAGCTAGAAGTCAATTAGCTTAGGAGCTGTTATACTTTAGAGCAGGGCACTTAGAAAAGTTCAAGGTAATTAGAGATAACAAGGTGTAGAGCTGGATGAATATAGCAGGCCAAGCAGCATCAGAGGAGCAGGAAAGCTGACGTTTCGGGTCTAGACCCTTCTTCAGAAAACAAGGTAATTAAGCTGTTTCAGTATGGTTTTATGAAAGGGAAATCAGAATCATATTTGGCCAATTTATTGGAGTTCTTTGAAGAAGTAAATGTGCTATGAATAAAGAGGATTGTGATTCATGTAAATAATGCTTTCTTCCATGTAGTTGCTGATATATATTTCAAAACGATGTTTAGCCAGCAGAAGGCTCAGTGTTTCTTCTTTAACAATTGAATGTTTTCATTGACATGCAGTCAGTTAGTTTAAATAATAACTGGCAGTCTTTCAATCATCTCATTATCTTGCAGTAAAACACCAATGTTGTTAGTATCAACAGACAGTTTGAAGGGCTTCTCATTATTAGGCATGTCTGAAACTGGTGCTGTTGTCAGTACAGCCTTTTCAAGGGCACTTTGAAACTCATACACCCATTCAAATGTTGTGCCTTTTATGAACAAGTCTGTTAAAGGCATAATGACACTGCTGAGGTTCAGAACAAACGTGCAATAAAATCCACTCATGTCAATATAACTTAAAATTTCCCTGTTCATCCAAGATAAAACCCATTCCAAAATAGCCTGTACTTTAATTTCTCTAGGCTTCAGATTCCCCCTCAGGTTTCTGACATCTCCCCAATAAACAACCAATTCTTCCAACCCAGTAATTTACTCTTCTACCATCATGCCATGCATTCCACCCAATTCCCTACCACCAAGCTCCTGTTAGCCCTAGCACAACCAGACTTGTAATCTCCTTCCCTGCTCTGTAACGCATTCTCTGATTTCCCCTTTTCTCCCTTCAGGGTCAGTAGACTACCCGATAAACTACTTATCTTCAACCCTCTTTGAGATTAGCACTTCCTCGGCCTTATAATCAACACTAACCCTTCCATGTGGATTTACCTTCTCCTGTGGTCTTCACCAACCATGTTCTTTTGTTTTCTGCAGCATCTCCCCAATTCACCAGTTAGCTCGACGGAAATATGTGTCTTTGCAATACAAGTTACAAATACCATCGAAACACATCAAAATTTGATTCTTCACAATACATGGTGTTTGTATATTTATTGCATTTAATTTTATTAAGTTAGAGGACATTAGCTGGGGATTCACCTAAGCTCCTCTAAATAGATACAGCGTGAATATATAGTTGTGGGTTAGGAGGCTCATACATGTAATGTATACTCTCTAAATAAATGCTTAGAAACGGTAAGTGTCAGCAAACATGTGCTCCAGCTTTTAAAGTCAATGCTAGGTTGAGAAAGTAGTTCAATACCAATTATAATACGTAAATGTCTTACCCAGCAGTTATAAAGGGACAGCCCCCCCCGCCCCTCCTACAGTCCTGAACCAGTGAAACACAGAAGTAGATATGTTTCAGAGTCTCAATCAGACATCACTTTTGGGGGTATTAACTGCCCACACAGACCCAAGCTCATCTTGCCCTGCATAAGAATATTCTACCCACTATCTCCGAAATAAAATTTGAAGAAAAATCAGCCAGAGCTGATGCTACTAATTACCCTCCAGTATCTCCTAGGAATTATCAGAGGATGATAGAATTAAATCTTGTTGTAATGAGCTCTGTAATCAGTAAAAATTCGAGTGCTCAATGACCCCAGTTGACCAGAGTTCAAGTTCAAAACTTGGAGAAAAATAAATCACATAGTCTCATTATTTCATTTAAAATTCCAACCTGCCTTACCTCCAGGCTTTGTTAAAGATGATTAGTTTTGATCAGAAACAAAACAAAACCTAATGGTTCTGCACCTTTCTCTAAAATTATTGTTTTATTCTTTCTGATTCAAAGGTTATTCAGTTTATTCGCCTTGCAGTAGGACGCAAGAACTTAGTTGCAAAAACACTAGTTGATGAAAGATTTCTTCTCTGAAATGCAGAGACCAAGGAGTTCATTAGGAGGACAGACTGTCCAAGTGGAACTCCACTACTACAAGATTCTAATATTCTTGGACTTGTTTTACATAATTTTCACTAAACAAAAACAATCCTGTTACTATTGTTTTCCTTTGCTGTGGGTACAAATTGTTCCGACAGTCTTTACAGTATTGTTGTCTAATGTTCTGTTCTAATGTTTTAGGTAAGTTTGTAATTTGACAAGTAACATACATCTGTGTATTTAGTTTTTTCTCCTTCCTTTACCTTTTCTGTATTTGCATTGCCAAGTAACATGCTTCCACCAAATGAGTGATAGGTAACTTTAGCTGAGCAATGTTATTCTGTATCTTTGTTAGAATTTATTGGCATATGACCCTTATCATTCTTTACTATATCAAATTGGATCAATTTACTTGATTGAATCGATCTTTATGAATGTTGAGTTCTTTGTTAGGAATCGTCATAATCTTTTGTTGATATAAAATGTCAAATATAAATTTAACAACTTTAAAAGAACGTTACATTTTTATGTTTATTACTGAATGTAATTGCATTTATTAGTAACTGAGATAACAAATTAATATCACTGCTAAAATTTGAAGCAGCCTCCCATTAAAGAAGGAGCCAGCACTTGTACCTCCATGGATGGTTCCCATGAAATTAGCTAACATAATTACAAAGGAAAAGTTGGACTATTGAATCCAAAGTCTAACTCCTAAGTAACTATTAAACTGACTCCATCATTAACTCTCACAACCCCTAGATCCCTTACACCACAGATCCTGGCCCAGCACCCCTTGGGGTGCTGACAGTCATCCCCTCTAGGACTCTACACCCCACCAGGACCTGTCATCCCCACCTGGGGAAACAGCACCCTCTTTGCCCCACTAGAACTGGATTGATTCCCGCAGTTGCCAGACCACATCCTCTGAGAACCTTGACCCAAGACCCCCAACCACCACCACTAATACTGTACTTAATCCCCTCCACCACCACACTCAATCTGACTCCTTGCCCCACCAGAAACAGCACCCACTTAACTACCCCCCTTCTCTACTGCCAGACCTAGTCATCTATTCCCCTCTGCCTGCTAGATTGGACGAACTGTAGGACAAACCCCCAGCCCTGACAAATCTCCTCTCCAACCTACCCGACATACCCTAAACACTTACCTTTTCCCTTGCATCTTACCCGCACTCAGTTGGCACCGTATCCTGTTGGCACCCTATCTCTTACATATTTGGCAATTTACCACCTGGCACCCTATCCCTCCCCAACTGCCACCTTACAGCCCTAGCACCGTAGCCCCTACCCATCTGGCTCCTAGCCCTCTCAGTACCTTACCTTACGTGCTTGATCTTTAACAGCAGATATCAAAGAGGCCGTCAGGACCTTTAGACTTCAGAACAAAGCAGCTGAATACTGTGAAAAGGGGGCCTTTTTAAGCATTCTTCACCCATTCTGTGGTATGAGAGAGCAATCAGAATTGAAGTACCTCTCAGCATTTGAATCTCCACTCAGAAATGCAGGGCTCCCTTCTTTTGTGTAAAGAAGCAGAGTTGCAAGTTGCATGAGGTTACCGCTCACCAGAAAATCTGACCTAATGTTCTAAAAAAGAAGACCGGATTGTGTTAATTTCAAATTTTGTTTTCAAAGAATGGAGGGTACACTTGCATTATGTTTTTGTCATTCATTGAGACCAGAGTTCAGGGGAAATGGTGAACTTATTTGGGCTGAGAATATTTATTCAGTGAGAAATATAAATTGTAGCTGCAAGGCCTTATGAATGACAATGGTCCCTGTTGGATTCTTTGTATACAGATATCCTCACTATATGTCAGATTAGCTGTAATACTGTTCTCACCTATGGGTCATAATGTTAAAGTTGAAGTCCCACATGAGTTCACGGCTTTGCTTGTTCCAAAGTACAACCATGGGAGTACTTCACTGTTGGCAGTGCAGTCTTTTGGATGAAGTATTAAACTGAAGCTTCACCTGTCATAATGCGATGAAAAAGATCTCATGGCACTGCTACAAGAAGGGCAATGGAATTCTCACTAGGGTCTTGGTCAATATTTATTCCTCAACCAACATCACTAAAATAGATGATCTAATTGTGATTAAAGAATGATACATCACGGAAAGAGAACACTGGGCCATCATGCCTGTGGCTCTTTGAAAGAATTGCCCAATTACTTATCTGCTCTTTCTACTAATCCTGAAAATGTTTCCACTTCCAGCATTTAACCAGTTCCTTTTTCAAAAATTGTTATCCATTCTACTTCAACTTACATGCCCCATGTCAGTTAGTATGATCTAAATTATAGTAACTTGATGCATCTTCTTTTGACCATGGCACCACTGGTTCTTTTGGCAAGTGTTCTCTAATAATCAATCTTTATGACAATGAAAGTTTTTTTCTCCTTATTTATACTATTAAGAACCTTCATGATAGCGACCATTTCTACCAAATCTCTCCTTACTATTTTCCACTCTGAAGAGAACAACCCAGTTTCTTTACCAGAATCAGAATATCCTTTATTGTCACGTGTACTCCATTGCAGAAGTACAATGAAAAGCTTTTACAATGTCTGCCTCTTATGGCACCATCTTAGTTATAAGTACTGAGGTATAAATCTTGGATACAAAAGAGGAATAAAAAATAGTTGCATTACTTTATAGAGTTTAAAAATAAGTTAGAGATAAGACATCATTAAAGGATTGACTTTACAGTCAGGTAAAAAATTTCAAATAAACATTACATTGGAGCAGCTCAATGCAGAGCCTCCGCACATGGTCTGACCGCCCATTCCAGACCCAGTCCAACAGCCAGCCCCGTTCTGCTCCAAGCCTCCAGGCCACTCCATTCTTGCACTCAGCTGCTCCAAGGTAAGTTCCAGGACTGCTCCCCCTCACCGGTCTTTGCCTGGGACTTGCTGCCCGTGCTGCTCTGAGACTTGCTGCCCACACACTACTCTAGGACTCACTGCCCACAGTGCTCCAGGACTTGCTAATCATTCCGTGTAACCATTTTGTTTCTCTAATCATTCCATGTAACAGAAGTCTTTCCTTTCTGATTCCATCCTTTTCATTCTCCTCTGCTCTTTGCTTTTCCACTCTATGGGTGGGATTTTAAACTGAAAGTCCCTGGCCAATCAAAAGGACTATTAGCCACTAGAACTCATTCGAATCTCCAGTGGACTTCAACATAGCTGTATAACTAAGCCGCAACGTTGGCAATCAACTTCCAGTCTCCTTGACCAATTAGAGACAGTGGGTGTGATGATGTGCTCGATCAGTTAAAGGAAGGAGTTCTGATTAAAGGACCATAAAATGGGTTACAATGTAGTACATGCATATGGACTTTTAAAACTGCAGTAACCACAGAAGTAGAGAAAACACCTGAGAAGGCTGCTCCCCAAGCATCTTACTCTGACCTGTGGGTCTTGATGAAGGATCTGAGGGGCTACAATGAGGTGAGGTCTTCCAAGGACTGTGAAAGTGGACACTCTGTCCATCAAAGTCTTCATGGATGGAAACAGAATAGAAAGTCAGGGAGAGTTTTGTTCATTCCAATCTGGAGGCAGTGCACCAGGAGCATACAGAACTTCACAAGTGTGGGAAAGCTGAGTCATACACTTTCAGATGCTATGCCTCACACTTTGGTTTTTGCAGAATTCTCTGACACAGTACTGTTTCAGACATGTTACCCTGCAACTCCACTCATTCTTTACCAGGCATCATACATTGCCATCTGGGCAGCCAATATTCATACATATCTTATTGCCTCATAGTCACCTCTCAGAAATATTGTCTTTCTCTGCTGTCCACACAAAAAACTACTCACACTCATGTATATCTGCTTCCTGTCCATGAAGGGAAGAAAAGAACTACACAATATCAGAAAGACACAGAGAGTCAGGGATGGGTGGGTGTTGGGTAATGCAATGGAGTAGCCCTCAAGTGATAGGCATCGTATCAGACGTTGGCATTGTTAGCCCTGCTTTTGTTCCAAGAGGCTGCAGACGTTACAACAACTTGCTGAGCTGCCTGAGATGCTGATGATCAGACTTGTTAAGGGAACTGATTGCTATTACATGCCCAGTTGAGGGTTAGCAGTAGGCAAGTACAGCTGATAGTGAGTGAAGTGCAAGACAGGAGAGTGAGTTGCAAGTTGGCAATCATCTGTTAAACTATGAAAGCATTCTCTGAGACAGAGTGTTATGAATAGCAGCCTCTCATTGGTTTGGCTGCAGCTCTTCAGTTTCATTGATCAAAAAGCATCCCAGTTTCACAGCTTCACTGAAGAAGAACTCCTCATTGTCCACTTGCCTCAATTATCCTAACAAGTTGCTGACAGGTCATTCAGGAGGTCTATTGGCTGTCAAAACCAAGATTCATGATTAAAACAGAATAAATGAATTCTTTAAATATTTAAATTCCACTTCACACATTTGCACAGAGGACCTCCACTCACATTCAAACCCACCCAGGTCAACCCTGGAACAGAACCAGGTGATGTTGAGATCCTGACCCAATGTTACTTTTAGGTGGCTTAACTCTACTTATACACTGAATCCTGATGTCCCTTACCTTAAGAATTCTACCCTATGCCTCTATTTTTAAAGCCAATGATATATCTTTTTCCCAAAACTATTATTTTTTCATAAAATCTTTAAAAGTACATTACAAATAATCTTGACTTGAATATTGCATACAATGCAACAACATTCAACTTATTTCTAGATGCCATGTTCCACTTTTGGATGCTCAATACAATTGTAGTGGTCTTAATATTTACAATATACATGTCATGTCATGCAAATAGCCAGAGGCCAAATTATTTCAACTTGAAAATTGCATAGTGTGCAGTCAATTCAACTTTTCTCCATGCACCTTGTTCCACTCTGAGGTGCTTCAACACAATTTCAACACTCTTGATGTTCACAGTGTGAATTGCTGTCTGGGTGTCTTCCCTTCCCAGCTCCTCTTACTCTGAAGGTTGGCTATGTGAGGAAACCATGATTGCTTTCCTATTGAGGCTTCAGATTAAAGTTGCAGTCAAGGTCACTGTCCTCATCTGCATACTTCAACATGCCATGCTTTGACATTTAATACCATTATCAGCACCATCACAAAGTCCCAATATTAGCATCCTGGGAATTACCATTGACCAGAAATTTAGCTGGACATGCTACATAAATATCAAGGTTAGCAAAGCAGTTGAGATGGGAGTATTCTGCAATGAGTGACTCACCTCCTGACTTTCCAAGGCTTCTCCATCATTTATATCCACCAGGAGTGTAAGTCAATGTTTTTGACTTTCCTTGATGGATGCAGCTGCATCGTGAAGCTCATGAACATACAGAACAGAACAGTCCATTTTATGAGCATCTACCAGTCTCAAAATGTACTACAGGCATTTACTGGCAGCAACAGCATCTCTTGCATCAATTTCCTTTGGCAGAACTTGTTTACTGTATAATTCTATAACCTCCCAAACCCATGAGACCTTCCAATATAGAAGGACAAAGACAGCAAATGCATGAAACAGCTTCACTTTCAAGCGGCACTCCAAACAAACATCCTAATTTGGATGAATATATTACATTCCTTAATAGTTCAAATTTCTGAAACTCCCCATGTATCAGTTTTGTGCATGCACCTTCACCAAATAGACTCATTGATTCTAGAAGAAGTGAACCACTACGTCTCCAGAGCAACTATGGACAGCAGTAAATGCCAGGCTTGCCACCAATGTTTACATCCTAAGAATGATTTTTTAAAAAATCAGACATTATCCAAGCTCATGAATTTATATCCCACTAGCCACAGGTTCAGCAAGATTACCACAATTACTTGGCAGTTTGTTATTTGCATAGAAAAACAGGCACTTCTATTTTAATTAAAAGAACAATTTATGGTCATTTTAGTATTAGAAATAATAAGGGGAGATTTTCACTGCATCCGACTATGCTATCCCTGACCCCAGAGTGATTCATAGTAATACTGAGACCTAATATTCAAAATTACTCATTCCCAGCATTTAATAGCACAGAATTTAATTTTTATTTTTTGTTTTTATGGATTGTCAAAAATTATTGGTAGCCTAATTGTTCCAACAAAGTGTTACCAACTTTCTCCAGTGCACAGAATATGTCCTATGCTCCAGCTAGAATTGTGTTTTGTTGAAATAAATTTTCAGTGTGATTACAAGAAAAAAAGCTTTAGCGGCTCGTAGCTATTTAGTAGGCTTCAGTATAACCCATCCTGTTATATGTAGCACAGTTATAAGCCCTATTTTTGACCCTCTCCTATTTTATGTTAGGATTCTAATTAATATCAGGAATTGCATGTTTATTTGGAACATAAGAGGGCAGGATCAAAATGTGGTTTCCTCGGTTAGCTGTCAAGTACTTTGGGTCTACCTGAGGTTGTTAAACACACTATATAACTTTGTTCAGTCTTTCAATTACTGCAACCTGTACGTATACATGAATCCAGGAAATGACTGTGCATAACAAGGTGTAGAGCCGGATGAACACAGCAGGCCAAGCAGCATCATAGGAGCAGGAAAGCTGACGTTTCGGGCCTAGACCCTTTGAAGGGACTGCTGGGGATGCTCAAGACCAGGTCACCTTCAGTTAAGTTATAATTCATGTCGAACGAGTAGGAGAATCCTCCCTAGAAACACAGATCACGAGTGACATGAAACTGGGTCTCAATGTGGCTTTGCACTCACACAAAAACCAGTGAGTTTGCAGAATTGCTGCTGAGCCATCTTTATCCCTCCTTGGGCTCTAATTTGAAAAATTCCACCCTCCCCCATTGAGTTAAAAAACGTAGATAAAGTCATAGTAACAATAGTTCCTTTATGTGTAGTACACTGGATGCTTTTCTCTATTTTCCATTTAAGAAACATTTGTCTTTAAAAAATCCATAAAATATAGATTGCATACCAACCAAGATTTTGGAACAATGGTAAACTGCTGCCATAGGGCATATGTAAGATAATCCATAATTGACTTGAGGGTTTTATAGCAATTTACCATTTGGAACTGTTCCCAAACAGTTTCATAATGATGACCCCCAGTCCCACTATTGTGGAAATCAGAGCAGTTTCTGCAGAATCAAAATGGACTTAAAAATACACACAATTATTTTAAAGTAATTGTTTACAGTTGCATACATGGCAGTAATACATTTCATTTGAGGAGGGCTTAAATAGATAAAAGGCAAACAACAAGAGAAATGGCAGTAAACTTTTATTTTTAGCTTTTAGTGGCACAGTCACAGTCTGCACTTAAAGAGTTATTTGCATTGCAGTTGAATATCAACACCAGAGATACAAACTGAAAATGCACAGTCATTAGAGATAGTAGGAACTGCAGATGCTGAAGAATCTGAGATAACAAGGTGTAGAGCTGGATGAACACAGCAGGCCAAGCAGCATCATAGGAGCAGGAAAGCTGATGTTTTGGGCCTAGACCCTTTGAAGGGACTGCTGGGGATGCTCAAGACTTTATCTACGTTTTTTAACTCAATGGGGGAGGGTGGAATTTTTCAAATTAGAGCCCAAGGAGGGATAAAGATGGCTCAGCAGCAATTCTGCAAACTCACTGGTTTTTGTGTGAGTGCAAAGCCACATTGAGACCCAGTTTCATGTCACTCGTGATCTGTGTTTCTAGGGAGGATTCTCCTACTCGTTCGACATGAATTATAACTTAACTGAAGGTGACCTGGTCTTGAGCATCCCCAGCAGTCCCTTCAAAGACATGAAATTTGTCTCCTAATGGAAACAATCTGAACGACTTAGTCAGTAAGCTGTATTCAAGCAACCTCCTTCCCTGTTCCAGACCCAATTGAAAATGGCAAGGATGCACTACTTGTCACAATTTTCTACCTTTGTAAACATATATCCAATTTAAGGATACAACATTTTTAATCTCCTTCCATCCAGGGAGACATTTCAGTGACATTGTTGACCTTGACACAATGAAGGAGTAAAATATTTTGGTTGATATATTTTAATCAGACAGTAAACTACTCTTAAAGTAGCATTTAAAATGGAACATCAACAAGTGAGTGCTGTTGTTATATTTCACACGAAGTGTAGCTTTAAAGTCAGATCTGCAGTTTCAGCTATGTGGAGAGCCTGGATAGACTCCAGTGGTAGATAATTGATGTAATCCAATGCAGTTTCAGTGAAGATATTTTCAAGTGGCTCAAGCATGTTGTGATATCACTTTCAGAGGTAACATGCTAATGAGGAGGTAACCAGGATTTAGAACATGTGACTTGAAGCCATGCTCAGTCTATCATGCAACATGTAACATTATGGAGTGTAGCTGTATTTTTGTGTAACAAATAGTTACCAGTTTCTGTAATAAATTTGTATGTTGATCAATCCTATCATGAATTTACCAGACCTGGAGTGAGATAGGTAAATTTGTGTGGGTAAAACACGAAAACTACTATATGATTCATTTGGAGAATGCCAGCCAACTTGTAAATCAGAAAGATTCTCAGTCTTCGCCTCTTCCCTGGCTTCACCCATTTGAGAAAGCCTTGAAGTAAATATGCATTCAACAGGCAAAGTACCAATCAACATTTTTAATACATAACTGACCAATCTGATAGGTTACTGGAAGGCTTCCTTCCCCTCCATCATTTTCCCAATTTCCAACCTGTCCATCTAACCATTCATAAACCCATCTCGTACTATCCCAAATTCTATCCCAAATATCAGGCTGGTCCAGTCTTATGAAAGGCCACTATGTGACCTGCTGAGGAATCTTACCTGGCCCTCCACCTTAGTTCTAAACACAGGAGGTAGAAGTGAAAGTCTCAGGAAGGAGATACTCTCAAATCAGAGACTGTTTCTCCCATGTGTTTGCTACAGCAAATAGGAGGGAGAAATGGAAATGCAGTGAGCTACTTGAATATGACTAGCTTCATTGAAGCACTGGAGGTAGCAATAGTGACTGCTGTGAGTCTGCTGAGGTGGAGATGGAGGTGACAGAGAGAGACTGGATATCAGCCTGATGGATGAAAGCAGGTGCATTTTGGGTTGGAAAGTGGTTTTGGTGGAAAGAAGCTCTGGGTCAGGAAGCAAGTCAGGTGGTAGTGACTTCAAGTTAGAGCTGAGGGAAATGACAAGGCTGTCTCCATCCTGTGCATGTGCTGGTCCCCTGAAGGAAACAGTCAAGAGGACAGAGCAGAATTTTGGAACCCATGACGTCATGAATCAGGGAGAGAGAAATAAAAGGAGTCTATGTGATGTTGGGAAGGAAAGAGTTTGTGTTGATGGAGAGTGTTTTGGCAGGAAGAGTGTGTAGCAGGGGATGGAGAAATATAAACATAAGACTGAATATTATGGATTTTTTTGGCCATGATGGAGTCGTATCGAGTTTTTTTTTGCATGACTTCCATTACAAGGCCTAGTGAGTATTCTCACCATAACTTACCAAAGTGGCCTCAGTGACTATTTACCCTGCCTCTATGGAACGCTCACATCTTTTACTTTATCCATCTTCTATTTTTTCTTACCTCACTTCTACTTCCCTTTTCTAGCTTTTCTTCCCTTGAACCTGAGCTCACTCTCAAGTTCCCATCAGCCCATTAATCTATTTTTCAACATGTCCAACAGCAGTAGCAAATCGGCCTGTGAGAATATTAATTCCAGTCTTGCTAAAGACTGCCTCAAAACTAGTCCCATTGCCTCAATTATGTTATCAATTTATTGCTTGGATCTTTTTTCTCTTCTGAAATTCTTGTTTATGGTTATGCCAGACCTTAACTTCCTGAAATTTGTTTGCCACCCACACCCCAAAGAGAGAAAAATTGAAGTGTGGCCCCCTCCATCACCACATGGAAAGATTGGATAACCCTGCACTACACCATCCACTTGCTCTCATCTTTAAAGTATTTGTATTGTTAGTCCCAATAGTGCAGCTGTCTCCTTAACCCTTCGTCTCTGCTTGGATATCAATCCATGACCAATGGGAAACGCTCAATTGTAAATTAAAAGTGTTAAGTGGTTTTGTGCCTGTGGGTGGCATTATGAGACAGACCAACTGTTGGAATATTCATTAAGGCTTTCTCAGGTATTATACAAAGATGTAGAGGTACTAATTCATCTTGATGAAACTTTCATGAATCTTCTGCACACTTCTGCAAGCATTCATACAAACTTTAAATTGTACCATCAAATTTTTAATCTTCATTCTTTTGACTAAAATGTGTCACTTCAGATTTTCTGCATTTAGTTTAATCTGACATCACATTGCAAAGTTCACCAGGCTGCCGATGTTATTCTCAAGTCTGTTACTGTCCTACTTCCCTTAAAATGCTATTGGATTCAGGGAAGAATCGGAAGGAGATACCCTTCCCAGGAATGCGAGGAAGCTTCCAGTAAGTTTGACTGACACATATGAGGGATGAATACCACTCTTTTTAACGACATTTTTACTATTGATGTACTTATGAAAGTCTCTCTTTCAATATCTTCTTTCAGATGTTTCTGTTTGTCAAGGGACTCATGAATTCATACAATTGTATGATTATAACACAATCACTAATAAATCAGAATTGTGTATGTATTGCAGCATGGTGAATATGTGTATTGTAGTTAGATCGTCCAGAGTCTGAATGGCTACTCGCAAATTCAGAATGGGCAACCTTTAAGTAGCCAAGCCCAACGGGCCTTTAACAATAGGTCAAACACAAAGCATCCACACAAGACAAAGGCAAGCAAGGATCTTCCCAGGAAAACAAGATTGGTTTGTGTATTACAGTACTATGAGCAGACTTGCCAGAGTCCTGGGTTCCCACCGTGACCAAGCATGGAGAGTGGTATGAGACTCTGACACATCAGAACATGGATGACGAGGACAGCTCCAACATCTCTTCATATATGGTATCAAGGATTCCATATGAATTGATGAATATTCCAACAGTTGGTCTGTCTCATAATGCCACCCACAGGCGCAAAACCACTTACACTTTTAATATAAAATTGGGGAAGTTCCTGTTGGTCATTGGACACCATGACCTTGACCAGGAAGGTTGATTGGCTGAAGGCCAGGAAGCATTGTGGAAGGATGAAGCAAGGAGGGATAAGAAGGGACACCTATTAGTTATTCCCTCAGTGAAGACTTGATTAAGTCCAGTACAGGAGCTCCAACAACTTGGAGAGAGAGAGAAGCCAACAACATGCGAGACCAACCATTACTAAATTCACCACAGCCAACTACACAGCCTGGCCAAGGTCAAATGCGCAGATAGTATTTGGTCCTAGACTGCTAGCGAGTAGTAGTCCAGATAGGGATTGCAACAAAGACTTAACATTGTGATGGGTAAACTAATTTATGTAAGAATCGGGAGTTTTAAAGCGAAAGAGCAGGGTTTTAGATAATATTTAGTCATATAGCCCCTTTTGGGTTTTTAGTGTATTTTGTGAATAAAATTGTGCTGAATTGCAAGTCAACTCTGACCCTTTTGTTCATCTCATATAGTCTCCAAGCAAAACAAA